CAGATTCTCCCCTAGAGCCTCCAGAAGGAGCACAGGCCCGTTGACACCTTGATTTTAACTAAGTGAAACTGTTTTCAGATATATGACCTCCAGAAGTGTTAAGAGAATAAATTTGTGTCATTCTCAGTCACTAACTTTGCAGTAATTTTGTTTTTTTTTTTTTTTTGAGGAAGATTAGCCCTGAGCTAACTACTGCCAATCCTCCTCTTTTTGCAGAGGAAGACAGGCCCTGAGCTAACATCCGTGCCCATCTTCCTCTAGTTTTTTTTATACGTGGGATGCCTACCACAGCATGGCTTTTGCCAAGCGGTGCCATGTCTGCACCTGGGATCTGAACCTGCGAACCCGGGGCCGCTGAGAAGCGGAAGGTGCGAACTTAACCGCTGCACCACCTGGCTGGCCCCCTGCAGTAATTTTTTATAGTGGCGATAGGAAGCTAATGAAGCACCTCTGAAAATACTTTCATCCTGAGATCAAGAACAAGCCAAGGATGTTTGCTTTCGCCACTTCTATTCAGCCTTGTAGTGGAGGTTCTGTTCAGGGCAATTAGGCAAGAAAAAGAAATGAGGCACCCAGATGAAGAAAGAAGTAAAACTACATTTACTTTCAAATGACATAATCCTGTATACAGAAAATCCTAAGGAATCCATAAAAAATTACTGGAACTACAACTAATAAACAATTTTAATAAGGTTGTACAATACAAAACCAATATACAAGAACCAGTTGTATTTTTATACACTTGCAATGAAAAATCTGAAAATGAAATTAAGAAAATAATTCCATGTAAAATAGCATCAAAAACACTCAGGAATAAATTTAACAAAAAAGTAAAAAACTTGTACATAGAAAAGTACAAAACATCATTGAAAAAACTTTAAGAACTAAGTATATGGGGAAACACCCATTCCGTGTTCATGGATTGGAAGACTTAATATTGAGATGTCAATACGCTCCCAAATTTTCTGAACATTTAACACAATTCCTATCAAAATCCCAGCTTGATTATTTCAAAAATTGTCAAGCTGATCCTAAAGTTCACATGGAACTACAAGGGACCAGAATAGCTAAAACAATCCAGAGAAAAGGAATAAAACAGCACTCACACTTCTTAATTCCAAAACTTACTTCAAAGTTACAGTAATTAAGACTTGTGGTACTGGCATAAGATTAGACATATAAATCAATGGAACAGAATTGAGAGTTCAGAAATAAACTCTCACATTTATGGTCAACTAACCTTCGACAAAGAAAGACTAGTCTTAAACATATGATGCTAAGACAACTGAATATTCACATGCAAAAGAAAGAAGTTAGATCCTTTTTTCCCACAATATACAAAAATCAACTCAAACTAGATCAAAGATCTAAGTGTAGGTGCTAAAACTATAAAACTCTTAGAGGAAAACTTAGGTGAAATCTTCATGCCCTTAGCTTAGACAATGGTTTCTTAGATATGATATCAAAAGCCCAAGGAACAAAAGAAAAAAAACAGATAAATTATACTTAATCAAAATTAAAAACTTATGTGCTTTAAAGGACACAGGAAGAAATTGAAAAAAATTCATAGAATAGGAGAAAATATTTGTAAACTATATATCTGATAATGGACATGTATCCAGAACATATATAAAATTCTTACAACTCAACAATAAAATACCAATAACCTGATCGAAAAATGGGCAAAGGATTTGAATAGATATTTCTCCAAAGCAGATATACAAATGGCTAATAAGCACAGAAAAAGATGCTCTACATTATTAGCCATCAGAGAAATGTAAATGAAAATCACAATGTGATGCTTCTTCACACCTACTAGGCTGGCTATAATTAAAATGACAAATGTTGGCAAGGATGTGGAGCAACTGGAACCCTGATACACTACTGGTGGGAATGTACAATGGTGCAGTACCTTAGAAAACAGTTTGGCAATTCTTCAAAGAGTTCAACATAGGATAACCATATTACCCAGTAGTTCCACTCCTGGGTATACTACCAAGAGAAATGAAAGTATATGTCCACACAAAAACTTCTACATGAATGTTCATAGCAGCATTATTCATAATAGCCAAAAAGTGGAAACAGCTCAAACATGCATATTGGATAAACAATACATTGTATATCAATACAATGGAATATTATTTAATCATAAAAAGGAATGAAGTATTGGTACATGCTATAACACATGTGAACCTTGAAAATAGTATGCTAAGTAAAAGAAGCCAGTCACAAAAGGCCACCTATTGTGTGACTTAATTTATATGGAAGATTCAAAAGGGGTAAATCTATACAGACGAAATAAATTGGTATTTGCCAGAGACTTATTTGGGGGAGGAGGAAATGAGTGACAATGGGTATGGAGTTTCTTTTCAGAGTGATGAAAATATTCTGAAATTAGATAGTGATGAGGATTACGCAAATCTGTGAATATACCAACAACCACTGAATCATACTCTTTGAAATGCTGAATATTATGGTATATGAATTATACCATAATCAAAAAGGAGAGGACAGGTCAACTTTATCCATAGTGTAAGCAGTTTGATTTTACATTTTTTATGATATATCCTTCATTCTAATACATTGCCATCACTGGTTGGCAGTACATCCATAGATATCTTTTTGTTGTTGTTGTTCGTCCCATTCCCTACATCACTTAGTATAGTGCCTTGCAAAATGTATGAGTTTATAAATCATTTTAGGTGTTGAAATGTATATTTAAATACATTCTTCATTTCCTTGAGTCCCGTAATAAAAAATATTACCCAACCTTCCTGTTTTATTTTTGCCCACTAGTGTGTAAATTCCCTGAGGCTAAGAATCATGGTAGATTCATCTCCATATTCTCCTACACCCAAACCTCACTTTTAGTCCCACCTTGTACCTATTACAGTGCCTGATACAAAGATACTGCCTATAATTCTTCTAGAATTCCTCTTATTTTCCCTTCCCCAACTTGAATCTAATCTCCTTCAGGACCAATACTGCATTGCACTCATATTTGTACCTCTATCACCTGCTTCTGTAGCCCTATTCTTTACGTGTAAGTTCTTAATGAATAACTTCCATGTTACGTCTGCTCTCCCACTTGCCACATGAAATTGTACTTTCTCCCAACTCATGTTTCAAATGAACGTGTTCTAGTTTACCTCTTTATACATCTATTATTTTGACTGTCATTTATAGGCCCATTACTCATTTATTTGTCTTAGATTATGAATTCACAAGTAACAGAAACTATTGTCCCAAGGGTCATCGCCTGTGCAATTATCTTTGTAAATTCTGCAGCTGAGAGCCCTTTGTAAGCAAGAGCCTGCTAAATATGCTAGATGATGGTGAAATCCCAACTCTTCTTTTGCCTATTTGGATTTTATATCCTTGCAAAAGATAGTTTTCTTACTTTTGGAACAACTACTTATGAAAGAGGAAAACTGGGCTCTCATAGAAAATGGAATAGGTACTGACTGGAACAGTAGTCCAGGAAGCCAAGAGGATCAGCCTTGAAGAGCAAATATTGTAGCCTGGCCATCAGACTCTGTTTCTGGTGTTTTCTGGAAGCATTTTTGGGGGAGGGGTGGTTGGAATTAAGGCAGATACACCAAGGGAAACGTAAGTGGGTGAAGGCAGAGGTATAAAGTTTTCACCTTGGCTGTGAATTAATGGAGCTTTTCTGCCCCTAGGTCTCTGGGTCCAGCAACTTTCAATTTGAAACACCACTAAATAAAACCAGTGCCTCAAGGCTTTTTTTCCCCCTAAAATTGATTAGCTGCTTCACAAGCCTATTGTTTTACTAATGCTTCTTGCTAATTTTATTTAGATGTATTTCTTTAAAATGCAAATAGTCATTTGTTCCTGACAGAAAAAGTCTTTAGAATCATCAGATCAAAACTGCAATAGGTTTCACTCACTTTTCTCCACCTTTCTACTTACGATTAAGTCACTGCAGAGAGATGTTGTGTACCTAGTTCAAAATAAATACATTTTGTAGTACAACCAAGAGTTGGGATGGGAAAAGATGATTGAAGTCACAGATCCCCTGAAATAGTCAGAAGTGATTTCTCATTTACTCTAGGTTGTCTGTCTGACTCCTTCCTCCCCTAGGATGGGTCTTTTCTCAAGAGTTCAGCAGTTCCTTTTGCAATTGACTTCTGGTGTCTGCCCTATCACTTTCCAAGATGTGCTCAAACATGCCTAAACCCCAGGAAATGACACACCTTAAGCTTCAACTAAGGCCTCTTCACCTCACAGCACTCATTACTGACAACACAGATTGGCTGCATGCAGTGCTTTACCCAGGAACGGCCATTCATCAAGGCCCAGATGTTTACACAATTCTCTACCATCACCCTCTATTTGAGGGTGACTATCAAAGAAAGAAAAAGTAATGATGCAAATGAATACAGTAAGAGGTGTTCTATGTTGAGTTCTTGTAGAAAGCTAGAGACAAAATTAGACTGTCGAGAGAAACTATACCTTTGGAAACGGATTAGGACCTCTGAATTGTCTTTTCCTTACTTTGGAGCAGAAACCTTCCCCCACTAACCTTCCACACGATTCACAAACAACTTTCAGCTTCATTTTTTTTAAAAAACGTTTTGGGGGCTGGCATCCAGCTAGTGTATTTTCCCGCATGGAGAAGGACTAAAAAAGACATACGTTTTGATAAACATAGAGGCTTCCTATAGGAGTCAGGACTTGAGCTGAGTCTAAAAGAAGAGAAAGACTTTTAGGCTGGAGAATACCATCCTAACCCCTTTATGAAGATGCTTTCTGTTACAGAATTAAACAAGGAGGCAGCCTGTTTTGAAATGCAGTTTTGTCATTGATTCACTGTATGAATTTAGGCCCAAACCCTTCCCATCTTTGTCTTCAATTTTCCCATCTTTTCAATTAATTGGTTTAAGTAGATCGTGTTCTATAGGGGAGGGGGTGGGGGCGGGGTGGGGGAGGAGTGGGGGAGGGGGTGGTCACCGAGGTGAAAATATTTAAGTTCTTGTCCACTCTAACACTTACTAGCTGTTGTAGCTTTTGGGACATTGGTTCATGTCTCTGGGTCTTAGTTTCCTTATCTATAAAACAGGGAAAGTCAGTCCTCAGCTTACCTTATAATGTCAGAATTTGGTAAAATCACATAAAGATAGGTTTGTCTATTATAAAATGCGGCACACTTGTGAGGTAAATGAAAGTTGAGGAGAACGACAGCTATCTAGAAATACGGAAAGAAAAAAGGAATCGGAGCAAAGGTAAAACAAATTTGGGATGGAAAAAGAAAAAACAAATCAAGGGAAAGAAAAGGAGGAAAAACGAGGGAATTTCAACAGAGATAACAAAGGCTGTGAGGGGAAATGCAACCAGTCAGGCAAACTGGGGGAGGGGCGGCAGGCAGCTGGGTCACGTTGCCGGCGGAGCCATTTGAGTTCTGCACGGAGGCTGGGCGCTGGGCCGATTTAGCTGTGACGCCCACCAGGCTTTCATCGCCCTATCCCCTAGGGCGCATCTAAGGCCTAAGATGGCGGCGTTTGCGCCGGAGGCAAGTACTCCAGGCGAACCAGGGGTGGAAACGCGGCCAAAGCACAAATCTACGAAGGGAAGTCCAGAGACTGGCCCATTTTTGTGTTGTGGTGAGTGCTGCGCCTCACATCGGCTAGAAAAGTGGCCGTTAGCAGGCTACGCGCTTCGGGATCGCGTGGCCAGCCTGCGTGGGGGGAGGGGCCGGCCTGTATTTCATTTTTCTCTCTCGCCTCTCTGCAAAATATCGGAGAATAATTTCTCTGTCCTTAATCACCTTACCAGCGATGAGGCTAGGTGGTTGGCGGAAACTGGCTCCTAGGAGGGATTCTGGGTCGTTTTCCTTGTTTAAATGGGTTTTTATTGACACCGTGTCGTTCCAAAACGAAAGGAGCCCATCTCCCCAGAGCACTTTCAGGACCAGCCTAACCTGTTGGGGCTGCTCTTCCTTATTTCCTTCCTGCTGCCTTTCGCTTGCAAACTTTGTAGTTTTGACAGTCTAATCAGTTTGTAGCATATTTATTATGGGCTAGATTAAAATTTTTTTCTGTGCCCTTTATACCCCAGATGAGGACTTTTGGGCATATAATGCTTAACATTTGTTCTGGAAGCATCTCAGAGGTAGAGGTGTGTGTTTTTTATGTGTGTATACAGGTGATCGTTGGGCTAATTGCTACTTTATTTTGTGAATTCTCAGCTTGATTACTTATTTAGTAAGGAAAGAGCTAGATTTCCCATGTTTAAATCTCTTCGTGAAAACAAATTTATGTTAAGCATAACATGTTTATTATATGGAGAAGACAGTTAAAAAATTACATCTAATTTATTGTTAAATGCTTCTGTGGTTAAAAGAAATTTCAGTTAAGAAGTGCCCATATTTCACTCATAAGTTGCTGGAGAGTGTGAATTGCTACAACCTTTTGAAAAAGTAATCTGGCAAGATTTAGGGAAATAGAAAATACAGATATCACTTGACTAAATACTGGAACCTAATAGTATGACTTTTTAGAATCCATCCTACAGAAATAAAAAGTATCAGTATGTAAGGATACATGTACAAAGATGCTTTTCCAGTTTTGTTTTTGGGACAGGTAACTGGAAACAACCTGTATATCCATCAATAGGAGAATGTGTGAATAAATTGTGGGACATTCATATTATGAAATATTTTGCACCTGTGAAAACATTTACCTCTTTTTGATCTAGAGAATGCTATAATGGATTGTTATATCAGAAAAGTAAGTTGCAGAATACTGTAGTAGGTTTCTATTTTTTGGTGGTGATGGGTTGATGAAAGAATATAAGATTAACTTTCTTTGTGTTTTTTGTGGGGCTTTCTATATATGTTATGAAATACTTAAGACATATACAAACATATAAAGAATAATACAATGAACCTCTGTTCTCACCAGCCAATCAAAAAAAGTAAAACATTACTGTTACAGTTGAAGTTCTTGTGTACCCATCCCTGATTGCATCTCTCTCTTCCCTCATCCCCAGAGGTAACTATTATTTTAAACAGTGGTTATTTTTTGCAGGCATTTCTTTTTTTTTTTCTTTCCTGAGGAAGATTAGCCCTGAGGTAACATCTGCTGCCAATCCTACTCTTTTTGCTGAGGAAGACTGGCCCTGAGCTAACATCCGTGCCCATCTTCCTCTACTTTATATGTGGGACGCCTACCATAGCATGGCTTGCCAAGCAGTGCCATGTCCCCACCCCGGATCGGAACTGGCAAACCCCGGGCCGCCAAAGTGAAACGTGTACACTTAACTGCTGTGCCACCGGGCCAGCCCCTGCAGGCATTTCTTAAACTTTTGTGACATATGAACTTCTTCTGGCATGGGTTATTTTTTTATAAATCTTGAAGAGTAATTTTAAAAAGAAAAGTCAATTAAAAACGGTGAATTTTTAAGTGTGTGTTATCTGGATTACAGCAGCAGTGGCCATTTAAAACAACTTCTAAATTGAGGGGAGAATTTAATTTTTAAAAAAACCAAAACCAGGAAATAAGTATTGGCAAGGAAGTAGAGAAATTGGAACCCTCATACATTGCTGTTGGGATATAAACAGTACTTGGGCAATTTCTCCATAAGTTAAAGATAGAATTACCATACTTCCTTGTCAATGCTTGTTATTTCCTGGTTTTGGTTTTTTAAGAAACTACAACCATCCTAATGTGTTTGAAGTGGTATGTTATTGTGGTTTAGATTTGCATTTCCCTAATGACTATTGATTTGGGGCATCTTTTTATGTACTTGTTGGCCATTTGTATATTTTCTTTGCAGAAATGTCTATTCAAGTCCTTTTCCCATTTTTTAAATTTGAGTGTTTGTCTTTTTGTTCTTGAGTTGAGAGAATTCTTTATATAGTCTGGATAGTAGACTGCTATATATGATTTGCAGATTTTTTCCCCATTCTGTAGATGTTTTTTACACTTTCTTGATAGTGTCCTTTGGTGTACAAATTTTTTAAACTTGAGGTCTAAAGTTAGCTATTTTTTTGCTTTTATTGCTTGTGCTTTTGGCGTCAAATCTAAGAATCCTTTGCCAAATCCAAGGTCATGAAAATTTATTTCCGTGTATTCTTCTAAGTGTTCTGTGGTTTTAGCTCTTCTCTTTATGTCATTGATCCATTTTGAGTTAATTTTTGAATACGATGTGAGGTCGAACTTCATTCTTTTACATGTGCATAGCCATCGTCCCAGTGCCATATGTTGAACAGACTGTTTATTCTGCTGTTGAATGGTCTTGGCACTCTTGGCGAGATCAGTTGGCTATAGATGTCTGAGTTTATTTATGGTCTTTAAAATTTACTCCATTTGTCTCTGTGTGTGTCCTTATGCCAGTACTACATTGTTTTGATTACTGTAGACTGTAGTAAGTTTTAAAATTGAGAAGTGTCAGTCCTCCAACTTTGTTCTTTTTCAAGATTGTTTTGGCTATTTAGGGTCCCTTGCAATTCCCTATGAATTTTGGGATCAGCCTGTCCATTTCTTTTTATGTCATATAAAAAAAATAAGAGGAGTTACAAACCAAAAATATAGTAATACTGGCTTTTATATTTACCTACGTAGTTACCTTTACCCGTGTTCTTCATATGCTTTTGAGTTATTATCATCCTTCCATTTTAGCCTGAAGAACTGCCTTTGGCAGTTCTATTAGCAATGAACTCCCTCGGCTTTTGTTTATCTGGGAATGTTTTAATTTTTCCTTTCGGTTCTCTTTTGACAGATTTATTGAAATATAATTCATGTACCATACAATTCACCCATTTAAAGTGTACAATTCAGTGTTTTTTAGTATGTGTGCAGCCATCATCACAATCAATTTTAGAACATTTTCCTTACTTCAAGAAGTCCATATGCTTTAGCCATAACCCCATACTCCCTTGAACCCCACCTCTCCAGCTCTAGGCAACCACTAATCAACTTTTTGTCTTGATAGATTTCCCAATTTTGAACATTTCATATGAATGTAATCATATAATATGTGGTCTTTCGTGATTGGCTTCTTTCACTTAGCATAATGCTTCAAGATTCATCCATGTTGCAGTATGTATCAGTACTTCATTCCATTTATGGCTGAGTATATTCCATAGTATGGATATACCACATTTTGTTTTTCTGTTCATGCATTGATGGACATTTGGGTTGTTTCCACCTTTAGGCTATTAAGAATAATTCTGCTAAAACACTCATGAGCAAGTTTTTGTGTAGACATACGTTTTCATTTCTCTGGGTGTATACTTAAGAGTGTTATTGCTGTGTCTTATGGTAACTCTATATTTAATTGTTTGAGAAACTGCCAGACTCTTTTTCAAAGTGGCTGCACCATTTTACACTCAACACCAGCAGTGTATGAGGGCTCTAACTTGTCTACATTTTCACCAACTCTTGTCATTATCTAAATTTGCTAATTTATCCAATTCTAGCCATCCTAGTGGGTATGAAGTGGTATTTCATTGTAGGCTCCTTTCCCACAAGGTTCGTCCCTCGATGTTGCTCTTTACGGAGGTGCAATTTGAATATGCCCACAATCACCCTGGGATGACAGTGGTTTTGTTAGGGCTGTCTTTCTGTGACCACACTCAGCAGCCAAACTCCACTTACTGTGAACTGATTTTTTAATTGTTTTCCACAATGCCCTGGGGGTATAAACTACTCCAGTCAAAATATGGGTTCTTTGAAGGAATAGTTTCTGAGATTAGTTTTTGCTATTTGTTCTCACCCCAGGAGGGCTCCTCCCAGTTGCCTTTATTACCCAGTTCCCTCCTGCAAACTAACAGACCTACAGTTTAGTCTATATTTTGAATCTCCTCCTAATCGCCTTTCACTTTAACCTCACTGTTTTTTTAGGACTCCTCTAGGCTTGACTTTCTCCATGCTCTTGCAAATGAAGTCAGTCCTTTGGGAAGAGATTAGGAGCTATCTGTTTTAATGTCTGCTTCTACCCTCAAGCAAAAGCTCTGAACCTGGTCTCTAGAGGTGGGGCTATGGAGTATGGCAAGTTTCTCTGTGACCTGCTCGATTAGCTGAGTGTTTGGTGGAGGGGAGGGTGCAGCCAGAGGTCCTCTCAGTTTGCCCCCCCCTCTCTTCTCACAACCCAGGGCAAGGATGTTCAGAGCCTCAGTCTTCTCCATGCACCACACCCAATTAAACCCCACATTCCATCAGTGGGGGCTAGGCAGCACAGGGAACCCTTACCTCTAAACCACACTTGATCAGGACTCTACCTTAGCAGCTGGCAGCTGTGGGCTTGTTGAGAAACACTGATGCTCTGTTTCTCCTGGGAGGAAAGCCTCTGAATGGGACCTGTGGGGAGAGGGAGCCCTATGTTCTTGGCTGCAGGACTCTTGAGTGGAGTCTCACTCCTTCTTGAGTTGGGATGGGAGAGGGAGGGAGGGAGTAGTCTTCGTTCAAATGCCACAGACTCACCTTTCTTAGTGAATTTTTGAAGATGTTCTTGTATAGATATTTTATTATTTGCTGTTTGTTCTTAGAACCATTTCCAGTGGCTTTAAATGGTTGTGGTTTTTAAAATAGTTTTCACTGGGGAGCAGGTCACTTGAACTCCTTATGCTGTCATGCCATAAGTTGATCTCTTTATTTTTGAA